AACAGCTTTTGTGAACCATATCCTGATCTCAATTATACCGGTGCAACCTCACTGAAGTCAATAATGGCCTAACTAACAACTGGCAGAATTTGGCCCTATATTAGGAAGAAACAGATTCCATATCAGATTCTCCTCCAAAAATGTAGTAAATCTGGTGCAAATGCAATTAGAGCTGATGCCAATGTAATTAGAACTGCTTGAAAGGCTCATGATGAAACGACAAACCAAGTAAATTCATTTGGTTTTGGGTTTCATGACAGACTCAAAACTTAGACCATATTCACCAAACTATTAGAGTTCTTTCAAATGAACATAGCCAAGTCTGGTTTTGCATCAAAAGCTGTGGTTTGCTGACTTATCAGTAGAAACTCTTTGATTTCATTTTGTTCTGACAATTGGGCCACAGTGAAAGCCCAAAGTTCAGAAGAAGATTCCTGGAGAGTGAACTTGCTCAGATTTTAAATTGGATGAACTTTTGGGAAGTTGGGAAACAAACCCATCAAGGTTTATACATCTCTAGATGTTGTTGAAAATACTGGAAAAAACATGAAGGGGACTGGAGAGGCAATTTAAAGGAAAAGGGAGAAAAACTAATCACTAATGATATACAGTAAAGCTCCAATAGTCCAGTATCCAATTGTACGGCACTCCTGATAGTCCAGCATCAAAATGGCAAGAGCCTAGTGAGTGAGCTTTGGCAAAAAACAAGTCACAAGGCAGCAGTGGCAGCAGCTGAACTGAGCGAAACCAGATGGGACCAAGTCAGTCTGCCACTGGCATTGTGTGATGCTGGATGGTGCTTGTGCTACAATAAAATATATATATACAACCAGTTTATAGTACCTCCTGATAGTCCGGCATATCCGATAATCTGGCACCACCCCAAAGGTTCTGGATTATTGGAAGTCTACTGTATTTAGGCATCCAGTACTGTGGGGAGTGAAGCCTTGGAACCATGCTGTGAGGAGGAAGCTGCAGAGATATTGGAATGATGTGTGGGAACTGATATAAAATGGATTACAGGATGAGGCAAATTAGACAGAATCAAGTTGAAATGAATCAAGGGATAAACTTGAAATGAACCAGAGAATCCAATATTTCATCCTTAAAGCAATCTCTTAATAAAGGTCATAGAGTCCAAATACCAGCCCTTATGTTATTGTCTGTATTACAACAATAAAGTTACATAAGCATTTAAAATAGGTCTGATATACAGATATTTTACATAAAATAAAACCTGAGTTAGCATAACTCTTGGACTAACATTCCTTTATCATTTTTCAAACTCAAATCCCATTGTCTCTTATGAAAACTAGCTGCCAAAAATACAGTGCTCCTTGGCGAAATTATTAGGAAACACAGATAGTATGAAATGTATAGCATAGTTTAAGGATAAAATGTAAAGTTGGATATATTGTTAGTATTTGTAGATCAGGTACAAATTGGACATCAGTATCATGTCAAATTTTTAGTTTGTATCAGTCATTTCCAACAGGATAAAGCAAAGCAAGATTGGCATGTATGTTGTGACTTTTCTAGGAATATGATAATCTAATGCATCTGCATGTAAATCAGAGTTTGTGTCATTGATAGGTAATTACTCACAAATCCATTTGGATTTGCCTCATTTTCGTATGGATGGGTATGTATAACAATGGCCCTACTAAATACAACTACATAATAGCTATGGTTCTATGCCATATAGAATTATATGCATCCAGTCTAGGATTCAATCATATGCAAAGCCTGAGCAATATAAAAGGGCAATTTAATATACAGTTTGCATAAATGGAAAAGTAAATCAGTAGATTAGATACATGTCAGATTTATAAAAATACATACACTTTACATGCTTTTCTGGTGCTGTTCATGGAAAATATTTGACAAGTACTAGGCATACCTGAAGTCTTGCATGGGTGATCCACACTTTTCAGCTTTGAAATTATTTCTTTTAAAAATGGCTTTTCTTAAACAACAAACAAACAGAAACAAAGTAACAAACAACCTCTTCCTACATACAAATTTAACCTCCACCATTTTTAGCAGCTTTCCTTCCTTCTTTCCAGTAAAATACATCACTGTATTTACGTTTAATTTTTAATGCTCACATCTTGTGATATGTTACATTCAGTTATCTAGGTCAGATCAGATTAGTTATTTATATTTAATATGTTTAAAAAATAGTTTGAGCATTTGGTATGCACGTTTGTCCACAGGTAATAAGCAGAATGGCTGTGAAGATACAGATGGATCTGTTGGTTGTCATGACACTCTGTTTAAAGTAACCTATGCTAATACTAAACTATTCAGATCCCATGTTGGGGGAATTAAAATGGAAAGTTATAATAAAATAATCCTACTTTCTGTGGGGAAACCAACACTGTATTTTTAGTGAGTTTAAAAATCTTTCAGCAAAAGTGTTATATAGAGCTGTCAGAATTTTCTTATGTGACAGGCTATTTTCCTGAATGCTTTTGTTTAGAATCCATCTTGATTCTAGTGGTGCATAGTGTTTCAAATGACATGTGCATACATGTGCTGAAATCATTTGTGCCTTGATGTCATGAGTATGTTTAACAGCTGGAATTTAAGCACAAGATAAAGATAACATTCTTTTCAGGGGAGTACAGGGCCGGCTCAACATTCTTTGGTAGAGTACAGGGCCGGCTTTAGGGAAAATGGCACCCTGGGCAAATTTGCATTTTGGTGCCCCTGGCCTCCAAGGTGGTGGTGCCCCCCTTTGCCTTTGGTCCCCCATAGGCGCCACCTTCCCTTCCTCCCAACCCCCGCCCTGCACTATGCCCCCTTTGCCCTTAATACCTGCACCTCCCTCCTGTGCCCCTAACCCTTGCACTGAGCCCCCTTCACTCCTATCCCCTGAATCTTCCTGTGCCCCTCACCTCCTGGACTGTGGCCCCTTAACTCCTACCCCTGCATCCTCCTTTGCCCCTCATATCTGCACTATGCCCCTTCACTCCTACCCTCCACATACCTCCCTTCTGTGGCCCTAACCCCTGCATCTCCCTCCTGTACCCATGTGGGGAAAATGACCCACCTGGATGCATAAAGCAGCTAGCATTGCTGCTCACTCTGTGTAATCTATCATCTCTCTTTCACTGTCTGTTCACTTGTCCTCCATCATTCCTTAACCTTCTTCCTAAAGAGACCACCCAAAATATCCTCAGCCATACAGCGCCCAGATCATCAGTATACCCATACTTTGTCTGGTGATGGGGGATCACTCGTTGCCAAGTATGATCATCTTCCAAGGGAGTAGTGGGCCCTCAGGTGGCTGATAAGGCCGATCCTTGAACCACAAGTTCTATTACAGTGAGGACAGATGTTTCCAGGTACTGCAGGGGGCTGATGACCATAAATAAAAGCCAGTCTCTCCTTCTTCCTGTGCCTCTTCTCCTCCTCAGCTTGTAGGTGAAAATGCAGAAAGTGTCGGTGAGAATGCAAATTCAAAATGCAGAGTCATTGTGTAGGACTTGTCTCCATTTTGAGTGATCCTGGGTGAGTGTCTCCCAAGTATCAATGTCAAAGTTGCACTTCTTTAAGTTATCTTGTAGCAGTCCTTATAGTGCTACCATTGTCCTCCCACATTATGGTATCCTTCTTTCAGCTGAGAAAACAGGACCTGTTTTGGGAGGGGATGGTCTGGCATCCAAACAATGTGAGCAGTCCAGCGAAATTGCTGCTGGATGATCATTGCCTCGATACTGGTGGTCTTTGCCTCTTCCAGAACACTTTTTTCAGCATCCCTGTAAACCTCACTTTATGAGGAAGAAGGCATGTTCCAAAAGAGGGTTTTTTTCCTCAACATTTGGCCCTGTGTAGATAGGCCAAATGTCGGAAAAGCCTCTTTCTGAGGAAAACCAGAAAAAAGGATCTTTTTCCAACTTTTTTTTGTAGTATAGACACAGCCTTGCTCTATGAAGATCAGTAAATATAGAAGACTTCATTCTTTTGGGACATTGGTAAACAGAGAAAAAATCTAACATGTTAACTGCTGTCTTTTCACAGAATGAATGGAGGAAAGATGATCTAGTTGATTGTGGTTAGGGGATTGGACTGGGACTTGGGGGACCTGACTCAATTCTTGGCTCAGTCACAGACTTCAAATGTGACTTTGATATAGTTACTTATTCTACCCTGTATCTCAGTTCCCCATCAGTATGTTGGAGATAATATTTTTTTTTCCAAAACAAAAGCAATAGCATGACTCCTGCTTTGGGAGTCGACCAGATCTGATACTCAAAAGTAGGAAATATTTTTATAAGAGATAAAACCCCTCATGCTTCAGGGCATCTGCCAATCCGTAATTGATGGGAGCTTTGAAGAAAGATTCCCTATGGAGCTGGTACTCTGAAACTGTGTACTGTAGGATTTTTGCATCTTCCTCAGAGGCTTCTGATAGTAGCCATAGTTGGAGACAGAATACCAGATAACTGGTCCGATTTTTATGGCAACTTCTAGTTTCCTAGGAAGCCAGATTCAAATGTTACCCTGGCACGAAGTATATAATTAAACAAGATCCAGACATAGGAACATACTTGAAAAATAAAAGGATAGAAAAAAGCAGATGGAAGCATAGGCATTGGATTGGCAAGACCCTTCCACAGTGATCCTTCCATCTTAATTTAGTTTGTTTCACTAGAATGTAGCCCCCCAATGGATCACTACTTTGCCATGGTTGGGAGGCTTGTGTATCTCAGGGACCCCTAGAGCTATGTCAGCGGAAGTCTTGTGCTCCTGGTAGGATCATCCATACTGAACAGGTTGAAGGGTAGAGACCAGAGTAAGTGTGATTCATTGGTCCTCCAGGTTGGGGGTTTGGCTCAGGGCTAACAACCCTGACCTAGAAAAAAGAATTGTTACCGAAACAGCAACAAAGAATTCTCCTACAACTTTGTGTGATGGCCTTCTTAAGTCTTCTCTGGGGACCTGTATGACTGACAGTAGTGAGGAAGCTACTGCCATGATGATGGACACCAAGACAAAGACCAGAATTGGATTCTGGAATATACGAACCATGTACGATATTGGCAAGTTAGCACAAATAGTCACCGAAATGAGACAGTACAATCTACATGTCCTTGGTGTTAGTGAGAGTAGATGGACAGGATTGGGGAGACTGAAGACTTCTGCAGGAGAAACAGTGCTTTACTCTGGAAGAGATGATGACCAGAATCATGAGGGACTGGCCATCATCCTTAAGAAGGGGATTGAGAAATGTTTGCTAGAGTGGAAACCTGTCAACAGAAGATTGATGAGGGTCAGATTGAAAGGAAGACAAGTGAACATCACCTTGATCCAGGTTTATGCTCCAACCAATAACAGTGGTGAAGAAATTAAAGACATCTTCTATGAGCAGCTTCAGGCAGAAGTGGAATCTACACCACACCATGATCTTACCATCATCATGGGTGATTTGAATGCCAAAGTGGGAAATACCAACACACACTATGACAGGGTCACAGGCAGACATGGGTGTGGCACCATGAATGATAATGGTGAGAGACTTGTAGGGTTTTGTTCTGTCAACAATCTGGTCATTGGAAGGACTCTCTTCCCACACCACAACATTCACAAGCTGACTTGGTTTTCACCAAATGGCAGAGACAAGAACCAGATCGACCATCTGATGATCAACGGTACATGGAGACACTGCTTGCAAGATGTGAAAGGAGAGGAACGGACGTTGGTAGTGATCACCATTTAGTGATGGAACTTGTGAAACTTAAGCTGTGAAGAACAGGTATTAAGACATCCATACAAAGGTGCTTCAATGTTGAAAAGCTATGAGATGTCACCACAAAGACTGCCTTTACTATTCAACTGAGGAACAGATTTCAAGCTTTGCAAGATTTAAGGGATGACATATCTACCAGTATCATAGATAAAATCAACATGGCATGGGAACAGATTGCATCAGTCTACACAAGGAGCAGCGAGGCCTGTCTGGGTTTCAAGGATAGGAAGAAGAGGAAGGAGTGGATTAAGCCTGCTACATGGAAAGCCATCGAAGAGAGATGGAACATAAAGAAGAGACTGGTAGACGTCAAAAAAGCCAGAATTCAAGAAAGATACAAGAAGAATTACAGAGAGGCAAATTGAAAAGTAAAGAAGTTAATGAGGGCAGACAAACAAGTTTTCATGGAGAACCTTGCAACAAAAGCTGAAGATGCAGCTAATCAAGGGGAGCAAGGAAACATGTACAGAATCATCAAGCTTGTTTGTGGCAAGTATCATGGCAGGACAGGTACCCCCATTAAGGATGAACAAGGGCAGTTACTGTCAAGAGAGAAAGATCAAGAAGCACGCTGGACAGAACATTTCAAAGAGGTTCTGAATAGACCACCACCTGAAGAATAAGCGGACATTCAGGAAACTAAGGAGGACCTTGATATTAATATTGATCCACCAGAGAAAGAAGAAATCAGTGCAGCCATCAGATCCCTGAAAAATGGCAAAGCTCCAGGAGGTACCCCCATTAAGGATGAACAAGGGCAGTTACTGTCAAGAGAGAAAGATCAAGAAGCACGCTGGACAGAACATTTCAGAGAGGTTCTGAATAGACCACCATCTGAAGAAGAAGCGGACATTCAGGAAGCTGAGGAGGACCTTGATATTCATATTGATCCACCAGAGAAAGAAGAAATCAGTGCAGCCATCAGATCCCTGAAAAATGGCAAAGCTCCAGGACCTGACAACCTGGATGCAGAATTGTTTAAAGCAGACCCAGAACTTGCAGCCACCATTCTCCAACCACTGTTTGTAGCAATTGGGGAAGGACAACAGATACCCAAGGACTGGACCAAAGGATTCATCATCAAGATTCCTAAGAAAGAAGCACTCAGCGACTGCAACAATTGGAGCAGGATCACCCTTCTATCTGTACCCAGCAAGATCCTAGCCAAGGTCATCATCCAGCAGATCTCAGATGCCGTCGACAAGTCTCTGAGGAAAGAACAATCCGGATTTCGCAAGGGAAGAGGATGTATAGACCAGATTTTCACCCTGAGAAACATCATAGAGCAGTGCACAGAGTGGCAGAGACAGTTGTATATAAACTTTGTTGACTTTGAGAAGGCTTTTGACAGCATACACAGAGAAAGCCTTTGGCGCATTCTGAGAGCCTATGGAATCCCTTTACAAGTGGTTCAGTTCATTAAGAGTTTTTATACTAACTTCGTATGTAGCGTGGGATACTGTGATCTGTTTTTCGAAGTCAAGACTGCGGTCAGACAGAGATGTGTCATATCTGCACTACTCTTCAACATGGTGATCAACTAGGTGATGCGGAGAACAACAGCAGATACGTCAAGGGGTATCAGATGGACACCTTTTTCCACATTGGAAGACCTTGACTTTGCGGATGACCTTGTGTTGCTTTCCCATACCCATCAACACATGCAGGAAAAAGACACAACACCTATGCACCTTTGAACACCAGGTTGGCCTAAGAGTTAGCCAGAAGAAAACAAAGATTATGATTCTCAATATAGATTCACCAGCACCAATCAAGATAGATTATGCAGACTTATCCAGCACAGACAGCTTTATGTACTTAGGCAGCATCATCTGCCATGATGGAGGCACCAAGAACGACATCCAGAGCAGACTAAGTAAGGCCAGAAATGTCCTCAGGAGTATGAACAATGTATGGAGATCTACACAGTACAGTGTCCACATCAAGTTTAAGCAGTACCAGAGCTGTGTCATAGCAACACTACTATACGGCTCAGAGTGCTGGCGGATGACAGAGTGCGACCGTGCCAAGCTCTCATCCTTTCACACCACCAGCCTTCATAAGATACTTTGCATCTTTGGGCCGAAAACAATCTCCAACCATGTCCTGCTCCTGTGATGCCACCAGGAGGACATAACCACTATCATTATGAGAAGATGCTGGAGATGGGTAGGGCACGTGATGAGAAGGGAGGCAGATGCTATTGTAAAGATAGCAGTTCACTGGATGCTTGAAGGATGACGCAAACGTGGGAGGCCCAAAACAACATGGCGGCGTACTGTTGAGGCAGATATGAAGAGAATGAACTGCAACTGGGGGACACTGAAGAAAATGGCCAAAGACAAAAAAAAATGGAGAACCTTCATTGCTGCCCCACACAGCAGCGGGCGTAATAGACATTAACTAACTAACTAGAATGTAGTAAATGATTCATATACTGTTTCTTTTTTTGTTCTTTAGACACTCCAGTGCTGTTGCTGATTTGCTAAAGTTTTCTCCTGTTTATCAACTTTCACCAAAGGTTATATCCGTTTCACACAATGATTCTGATACTTCACCCCTTGCAGTGGGAAGGACTGAATATTTAGCCATCTGGTGGTGGCGACCACTATTGGAGATAGGATACTGGCCTAGATGGACCTTGGGCCTGATCCAGTCCGGCAATTCCAATGTTCCTGTGTAAAAGAGAAGGAATCTGGCTAGTATGATTAGCCTTATCACTTCCTTTGAGTGTGCTCAGTTGTCTTAGTCATTGGTGTGGGACAGGTAACATATGAGAACAGGCTCATGCGTACTACTGCACTAAGTTCTGATTCTCCGATAATAATATGGATTTTGTTGTCAAATTTCAGAGTCTATATTGCATACTCTTTGAATGATGAATTAGGATTATGGTTTGGGAACTTGGCCTAGAGTCTCCATTGCTCAAATTATGGAACTTGAATTTTGTTGTAAACTTCTTTTCAGGTAGTCCAGGAATAGAAAAGAATTTGTTAACAACAACATGTATACCATGCAACTGTGATATATCTCCAAATTATGAGCTTTGTGATCCTACAGGACTTCCTTTCCTCACATGCATTCGCAAATACTTGCAAGAATGATTTTGAAAAAGTGCCCCCCTCTAACCAATCACTTGCAAAGAAGGACTGGTTTGAGCACAGAGCAGTCTGTCCAGAATGCTGTTGGTCCACGCCATCTGTATTCATTATAGTTATTTAATTATTTTCTCAAAAACACACAAATTATTTCAAGGAGGGAAGAATGTTTTAATCAAGTCATAAGTCTGGAAATATGAACTTTATTATTGATTAAACATTTGAAAAGGAATTTTTCTCAATAAAGTAAAGCACATTTCCTGTCCTCTTTTTCTTTCATGTTTTCATTAAGCAATTTAATATGTCTGAATCTTATTTTATATTGCGTTTTCTTTTTATTACTTTATATTACATTTTTGTGTTCATAGACAACGATATAATTGCCTTGCCTGGGACAGAATGCGCTTTCTGTTCACGTAGATAATAATTTCAGACAAACCTTGCTCTTTTTATTGGGAAAAAAGTTATTAAAAAAGCCTGCAAAAGGTGTCCATTTTCTTTTTCATCTAAAACTTTAGTATTTTGTTAGCTTTTTTCTGTTTTACATTTTTCAGTGGGAAATAAAATTGTGCCTTCCTCATTCTGCAAGGGCCTTGTGCCGCACTACTAAAGTCAATTGAAGTTTTGCCATTGACTTCAGTGGGAATGGAAATCAGACCCAAAATGTATAGCAAATGGTCAAATCTTTTAAACCCTTTTTCACAGATGAATGGGGTTTCAGGTTTGAACTCTGTGATCTGTATTGATATGTTCAATACAGATATGTTCTTCAGCAATGATTCAGATATCGGCATAGAGAGTATGCTTATTAAGTTTGCAGATGATACCATGCTAGGAGGGGTTGCAACTGCTTTGGTGGACAGGGTCATAATTTAAAATGATCTGGACAAATTGGAGAAATGGTCTGAGGTAAACAGGATGAAGTTTAATAAGGACAAATGCAAAGTGCTCCACTTAGGAAGGAACAATCAGTTTCACACATACAGAATGGGAAGCGACTGTCTAGGAAGGAGTACGTCAGAAAAGGATCTAGGGGTTCTAGTGGACCAGAAGCTAAATATGAGTCAACAGTGTGATGCTGTTGCAAACATAATTCCAGGATGCATTAACAAGTGTGTTGTGAACAAGACATGAGAAGTCATTTTTCC